TTCTAGGAAAATGTCCTTGGTGTGTGTGTATATATATCCAGCCTTGTTTCCTCCAATAGGTTCCAGCTTCCTCTCAAACTTTTACTTAGAAGAAAATGGATGGAAAAATATGCCGTTACCAAGAAGATGCCTTTATTTCCTTTAGTTATTCCACAACGTCTGTAGGGGTCAAAGTGAGCAACAGCTGTTCTGTCCAGCCTGTACACAAACAAAAGCTCGAGCATGATGATTAATTCTCACAGTCTCAGGCGCTGCTGAGATTCATTATTCCCAATAACCTTCCCTGAGTCTTAATCATTAAGAGCTAATGAAACAAGAGCCCGAAAAAATAAAAGTTTCAGAAACTCCCGGAAAGAGCTGCATGATTTATGGGGCAATAGAAAATCACCGCAACTGAACAAAAAATAAATACAATCACAAGCAAGAGATGTTAATCCAGGGAGTTTATGAATCACATTAGGCTAATTCTTATTGACTGAGAGGGTAAAGGGGCTGCTCTCTAGATGGCCACTGCTTATACACTCTGAAGTTAGATGGCAGCTTTTCAGACAAGAAAAGAAAAAAAGAAAACAGCATGCAAATATTTTGATTGTTGAGCTGCCTCTTTCATTTGCTTGTCATGAACAACATTTGTTTCCCTTTCTATGAATATCCTGGAGCCCCACAATCACTGTCCAGACCAAGGTGGCACAGTGGAGCTGAAACTGACTTCATTCTGGTAGAAGTACAGGAACCAGAGCACTACTGGAGGGAATCGGATGAGTTACTGCTCTGACTGCGCCTGACTGATCTGGGGCTCTTGGCTCAGTTGACTGAGGCTGGTGCAGAATCTGAAGGGGAGATTTTAGAGAGGTGGATTGTAAAATGTTTTTTTTTTTCAGTATATACTGTTAGTATGTGACAGTGTTATAATCCCGCTGAAACTTGAAAGGTGTTCTAGAACTGCACAAGTCACAGGACTAGTCTTTTTTACTCAACAGGCTCAGCAGTTATGGAGGTAAGCTGTAACAGTTTAAGTATATTTACATACACAGTTTTAAAAGTGGGCTATTTGATATATTCCTTTATAAGAGATAATATTTTGATATATTTCTTAAAGAGATAAAAAAAAATTCTGTTTATTTTAATGTAAAGTATATTAAAACCTAGCTCCCTGAGCAAACTGTTAATTCATCTATATGGTTAGGCTGTCCTGCTATTACTCCAAATATATGAGATCTTGTACTGTAGCTGTAATATTTGAGCGTTGAAAAAGTCTGTGCATCATAAATCAGATGCTTATACTATTTCTACTGGAAAATTAATAGATTTCAACAGAGATTTCAATATTCCATTGATCTTTTATGCCTTTCTCTCTAAACATAAAATGCATCTCTTAGGTTTCAGCTCACTAGTGGTATTCAATGCAAATGATGTTTATAATTAAATACAAATGATCTGCTACTGGAATCTCCAATTCTGCCCCTGCAGGGAGTTTGTCTTTAGCTCACCTATTTCTAAAGTCTGCAAGCGCTTGTCTGTCTTCATTGAATAAGACAAGTAATCTGTCACCAATGAACAATTCATTTATAAAGACTTGGAAAATATGTTTTGATCAAATCACAAACTAAGTAGTGCAATCATTGTCTGAAGTGCTGAGCTTGGGGTTTTCATTTCAAATGATCTTTAAACTACTTTAATCGACAAAATCAGCTGCTTTAAGTGGTCAAAATTAATGTTTCCAAATACTTACAAATCGCTGACATCAGAAAAATGTGTAAAATCTGCAGGATTGTGGTTTTTAAAGACAGGGGTTGGCCACCCCTGCAGAATTTTTCTGTTAAACTTCCATCTCTCATTTCAATTTTCTCACCTCTTTGTTGAATGCGCTGGTGTCTGACTATTTTCTCAGCCAGGTGAGTTAAAGAGAAAGTAGTGAGCACTCTATCTCTTTATATTCATCAGCTCATTTTGCCCTTATTAGATTTAGACTGAACAACTGAATGTCATGGTGGTGCAGTGGTGCCTTGCAGAGCCGGCGAGCTGGGTTCCATTTCTGGGGCGCTATCTGCATGGACTTTGTATGTTCTCCCAGTGTTCGTGTAGGTCTCATCAACCTGAAGTCCAAAGAAATACTGGTAGGTTAATTGATTTCTGAAAAAAATAGCCTTGGTATGTGTGTGTGAATTTGTGTGCCTTGTGATGGACTGCGATGCTGTCCAGGGTGTACCAAGGCTCCCTTATGACCCTGAATTGGATAAAGTGGATGGAACTGGAAATGAATTTTCAAATGCTAAATGATTAAATAACAATGCATCAGTTCTGAAACACTGAAAAATTACAGGAGTCAATCCACAAATAACTGACTGACCTTCTGCACACAGTCTTAAGTTGTCAGACATCTGTCAGACATCCCATATTTATGAATTTATAGTCAGTGCAGGGCCAAGCAAATTCCTGTGTGTCTTTGCTCTGCTCATCTCTGTTCATGCTCCACCTCTATGAAATCAATAAAAGGGCGGACTTGCATATAAAAAGACCAACTCATGTTAAAAAAAAACTGAAAAGAACTTCAGAGAAATAAAAAAGCTCCCTTAAGACCTTACTAGAAGGCCCCAGAGTGACTGCCTTGACCTCAAGCTGTTTCATAGCTCCAGTTGGAGAACAAGTTTATAAACCTGGTCACTAGATTGACTTTCTGTTTATTAAGGCCCTTGAGGGATGCTATGGTAGCCTGATTTTGAAAGAGCAATTTGTTGTGCTTCATTAGGCATCTTTTCTGGTGGTGAACATTTGATTAATGCTTGAGCGGACTTGAAAACTGCAAAAAAAAAAAACAGCAGCAGGAGAACGAAGCATATGTCTTGATGCATCGATCACTAATGGGGTTTCATTACTGACCCGTTTGATTACTTTGTGCATCAGAAATCACCCACTGACTGAAGAGCCTGGACTGCTTTGACCGTCAAACTTCCATTTAGACATTGTCTCTGGCCTGCTGTTGTCACTCAAGCTTTAATTGAAACATTCACATGTGCTCCTGACGACATTAATGGGACTTTCTTTCCGCCTGTTTGCCTTCAACTTGGTGAACTGCTCATTTCAGGTTCATCATGTAATTTGAATAAGGATCTATTAGGTGTATAAAGCTGTGCATTTATACCACGACTCCTTCTAACATGGAAACATTTATTGGCTCGTATAAGGAACTTGACAGGGGGCGTTTCTTGAGCCGGTAGACCTGTGTTCTCTACATTTTTTAAAGTTCAAAAGTATAAAACAACTTTTTGAACTTCAGGGACTTCTGTATCTAAGCTCCTGGAGTGGATTACTGAGGAACACAGACAGATCTCAGTCAGTGCTGCTTCACGTGCTGCTTCATGTTCATGTTGGCATGTTATTTTAAAGCTGTGGTTTTCAAATTAAACTGTTAGCCATATAACTTGTGTATATTCGTGCACATTCTATTGCTGTTTGTTATACATGCTATTTGCTCTTATTGGAACAATCTTCAAAAAGCCTAACATTGTAGCCCTAACTTGTTCTTAAAAGATGAAAGACATTAAGCAATTGATATTCTAAACATCCTCTAGCAAGCAAACGGTTTTGCTGGTCTTGGTGCTCATAAAGAAGAGTTTCAACTAAGCAGAAGACAGACACAACCCTGATTAATGAGCTTCATTCCCATAGTTTCCCAGGTTTCTGTCGTGGATGCTGGCATGTGGACCATGCAGGACCATGTAGTCAAGGAGCCTCCTGTCAGCTTTACCCCTGACAATCCATTCACAGAACTATGGGTAGAGTTAAAGTTTAGCCCATCAGCACTGATCTGTTTGTGTGCCAGAATGGACGAATCATATGGCTTACATGAAACAACTGATCTTCCAGCCGGTGACTATCTGAAGTGTTATTGATCCAAGAAACCTCATCAAGCCTTCTTTTAAAAGATGCCACTGAATCACCACTTACAACATGGCTTAACAATTTGTTAACCTGTCTTTTTCTTTGGATATTCTGAAGCTTTATTCTTATGTAATCATTCCATATTGTTACATTTCATATTGTTACTTTTATTCAAGTACTGTAAATGCGTTATAACGACTTGCACTCTGATAAAGGATGTTACTGTCCTGTGTCACACTCTCCCTTCTGTTACCTGTTTTATTCTTCTTCAGTGTGAACAGAGAAAGACAATTCCACAAGAAGATCCTTCAGCTCATTGTCATCATCTGTGTCCGATGTCACCCTTCAAGGGACTAACCAGAGCCAGCTTTGTGAAACCTCTCACATCTCTGAAATGTGGTATTAGTATTGATTAAAATGTAGTTCAGAAACTGCAGGAAAGCATGTCTCAAAATGGATTTGAACAAACATACTACAGTATATATAGGACCAGTTCATGGAGTTTGTGTGTTCTCCCCATATTCACGTACACTCAGTTTCCTCTGTGTGTCCCAGTTTCCTCCCACAGTGCATAACATACTGGTAGGTTAATTCGCTCTTGGGAAAATTAGCCCATAGTGTGACTGTGTGTCTTCCCCACAATAGTTACTTGATAGGCTCTGGCTCACCCAAAACCCTGAGCAGGAAAAAGTGATTCGAAAATTGATGGATATATACAGTAGGTTGAGTATTTGTACATTTGTTTTAATCTGGAATTGTGTTTTTGCTCATTCTTTTGGCATTTATGGAAATGCATTTCCTTCACCTGTCAAGTTTTCCTGAGGCTTTTACTGAAGCATTTTGGCATGTCAGTTCTCAAAGGAACCTGTGTTTGAGCTCAACCTCTTGGTAGCTGTAGAAAGTTGTGTGGGTCACTGGGTACTGCAGAAAAGGATACTTAATTATTTTCTATCAGGCATGAGTGCACTGACAGAATTGGCTGTTTGGCAGAACAGTGTTGAAAAGCAGAACTCATTTTTGTGCAACAAAGTGGAATACGCAATTATCAACAAGTACTGTATGCATGCTCACTTAGGAAGGCTTATCAAATAAACATACGATTAGGCGGATACAGACAATTTCTTTGTGTACATTGAAGTTTAATGTTGTCATGAACATGAGTAACATGAGTTTAATTCTCATTTGCTTTATATGCACGCATAGCAACCTGAAAGCCAAATATTATATACATGACATTTTATCAGTGATTGCTATTATAATAGTTACTGTAATAGCAATTATTCTTTGCATTGTTACCAACAAGAAGAAAAGATGTAGTAGCAACAATAATAAGTAAAGCATAATTGTGCTGCTTGTGTTTGAATAATCCTTGGAGCTGGAATTCAGGCCTAGCTGTTATGCTGCAATGGATAGGAGAGTCCCAGTGGAGGTACATGAGCAAGCAGCATGAAGTAGTGGCTACTACCCTTGACAACAGGGCCCCAGGTTCAAGCCCTGGGTGGAACACTGCTGTTTATATCTTTACTCAAATTACTCAGTAAACATCATGCTATATAAATAAATGGATCCACAAACTGTTATTGCAAATGAGAATTTGTTCTCAATTGACTTTTTCTGATGAAATAAAGGGATAAAAAATAAACACTGCTGAGACTACTTCTGGAGTTCCAGCACTGCAGTGTGAGAACACGCAGCTGGCTTGAAGCACTGTGTTTGTCTTCTCTTCTCTGGTCGACTGTGCTGTGGGAGCATGAAGCGAGTGAATAAATATAGTTTCTTATCAGATGTTGTAAAAATGGGAAACATTACTTGTCATTTGTCAAATGATAGAAGTAATTTAAAAATGAGCCCCAAGGCTAATTAAAATCTTTTCCCACCCAAACCACAGCCATATACTAAGTGAGAAATCCCAAATCTTGGTTCTGGAAGGCCAGTGTGTATTCAGGTTTCCCAGATCTCTTTAAAGCATCAATACCAAATGAACTGGAAGAAACTGTTAAACCAGTAAGAAGCTGTTGGAGATTTCTAATACCTCAACAGGACTAAAAACCTACAGTTCATTCACACTGGCCCTACAGGATCAAGACTGGGGATCTCCACTCTAATGGCGGGGAGAAATCTTTCCAAATGTGTAAATGCATTGGTTTAGATACACTATTAACCACTCTGGTAAAAGTGTCTTAATTGTTAAGAATCAATTTATGAAACACAGCTTCATTTAAAGTGATACTAAAGGATTTCATGAGAATTATGGCACTGAAACCACCGGATGCTCACAAAGAAAAGCAGAACTACTGTACATCTTTTTATAATTCCAACTTTTTGTGGGAAAAGATTCCTGTTAACCCTGGGGGATCAAACTTTTAGTTAATTATAAAGTCAGACTACTGATTACTTTCAGTATTCATATGCAGGAAATCCAAATATACATTAAATAACTTAACGTAGTGATCACATTAACCTTTCTGCAGGCCACCATCTGGACAAGTGAATATGAGCTTGTACTGTAAGGATACACATTTTATCTGTTTTGTAATGGTCCAGATGGCAAGATACATGGACACATCTTCATTTTGATCTGAAAACTGTGCCTTAATGATGTATTTATATGTAAATATTGTTATTTTTAATCTGGCAAGATGGAATGCTGAATGGTTGCAATAAATAATGGTGAATTTTTCTTAATTTAAATTTTTAATTGTCATTTTTAATCAAACGTTTTAATAGGTGTGTTCAAAATATTTTATGAAGTTATCTGGAAAAGATATACGAGAACAATCCATTTGTGAGAGTTGTCTAACTCCAGTCTAGGAGAACAAATGTATTCCATTCCAGCTCTTTGTCACGGCCTGTACTCCTAGAGGGCGTTCTACAGTACTTCTGTCCTGTTCCTACTTCCCTGTGATTATTCATGTCTTTCCGGTGTGTCCTGTTGTGTAGCCTATTTACTTCCTGTGTCTGCTCTGCTCCTGGCTCAGCATTGAGGGTTCGGATGTTGTGAGACCCGCTTAGTACCAGGTCGCCCCACGTCCGTGGCCTGAGGGCATAGGTTTCTGTCCCAACATCGTCTGACCCCCTGAGCCTGGGCTAACCCCTGTGTTGCCCCTTTTACCGCTACGCATAGGGTCTCTACTGCCCTCCTGGTCATTCCACAGCATGCCCTTCTGACATCCGTGACACTCTTATAGAGTTAAAATAATTAAAACTTGATAGTGGTTTAATGGAAGTGGTTTAAAAGCTGTTCCTAGTTTTAAAGGTGCTGCTGATTTACAAAGATTTATAAAACATTTTGATCTGCAACCCTTCAGGATTGTAGTTGAGCACCCCTGCTGCATAATCTGTTGTACTACAGTTCAGATCAGATTAAATCTCTTCAGAAATTAACACTTTGTACAATCATTTCAATGGGATATATACTGTACAAATAATCCATAGATTGCGTCAAAGGATGTTTTGTGGGTTAATTGTTTTGCTTCTCCAACATTTCAGCCCTCTTGAAATGGGACTCTTGTGTGGTGCAGACAGTCAGCAAGGTAAGTCAATTAAGAGAAATTACAGCTCACTCAGGCAACCAAACTCCCAGCTTTCTCCACATGTAATTACAGATCCTATTTAGACTATTTCAACCCCCCACCAGCCTCACATCTCCACTCCAATTATGGCAGCGAAAGCTGGCTAAAAAAGAAGTAGGAACACATTGCTACCTAGGGCCACTCTCAATTTCAACATGCTTGTTTCCATTAAATTATCTATGCAGGGAGAAGGAGATGTTCACAGTTCCGGTTATGATAATGCTGATGTGCTGATGCACCACTTTGATTACAGAGTTCAAGACCTTTGCTTTTGACAACTTTTTACAACGACGATCAGTTTCCCCTCTTGTCTATATTGTCCATTTCTTGAAGGAAGTCAAGGTACTGTAACTGTTTACATAAACAGCTGTTCCTAGTCTGAAAAATGCTTATTTTCTATTTGTGTACCCTGGTACAGTTTCACTGTTGATTCTGAAGAAGTCCACTGAGTTGACTTTGTAAATGTTTTTTGAGAATATTGAATCAGGTTTCCTTATACTGTTCAAAAACAAAATATTTAGCCTATCAGAGAAGAACATTCCTTTGAGTTTGGGAATGAATCTAATCCCTCTTCTGTGGAGTGATTCCAGAGCATGTTTTGAGATAGATGTTTTGTTGTGTAATGGTAACCAAAACTCAACAAGAGACTGAACAAGATATTCTAAATGTGGGTGAAATTCAAAGTTCTTCTCAGAGTTCAGAATTTTGTTATTGTATTGGGAAACAAAAAACAAAAAGGAGGTATTGACTGCACTCTACTGACACTAAAGCCCTGATGTTCTGGCTCTCTTTAGTGACAGTAGAAGAGACATTGTTCATCTTCAAGAGTGAGTAAATCTACAGTAGTCTTCACACCTTCCAGGTCAGACATGTCTTTGAAGTTGGGTAGTATGTCAATTGTACCTGGGTAGTTCAGATGGACAGCAGAAATAGGCAACAATAAGAAGTGTCCTGTGTCAGGGTGCTATGAGGTTATAAAGCCTATATTTCAGGTATGAACTCTCCAGAGGCCTGAGTTTAAATTAAGCCTGCCAAAGTGAGGTTTGTTGTTTTAGCTTGATTCACAGGGGAAATTAAACTGCATTGCAGAACCATGAAACATTTTGATCTAATTGCACAGTATATCTTGTTGGATGTCCACAACATAGAGGCTTGGGCCCATAAAGTCAGAGCCGGGGTTATGATCAAACAGCAAGCAGAGGAATGTCATCCAGCCCTTGTAAACACAAGGCCTTAATGCAGCAGAGGCTATTCCTAAATTATAGGTAAGATTTTCACAACATCTGTTTTGGAAAGCATCCAATAGAGACATTAAAAAAAGAGAAAAAGAAAAAAGAATATAGAAGAAAGATGTGAAAAACTGTATATATTATATTTATGTTAGGGAGAAACTCACGTGTACAGAGCTGAAAAAACATCCTGCCTATTATTACCACCACAAATCCACAAGTCCTTCTCTCAGAGTACACTCACAGGTGACTGGAGAAACTGATTTTTGTCCCTGATTGTTTTCTAAATCAATTAAGTCATTAAGCCACCCCAGTGCAGCAATAGCAATGATAATTGGTAAACAGACTAAAATGGCATGACCACACAGTCTGTGCTCCCAAGAGGAAATAATTTAATGATTGAATGCAGAGAAAATGTTTGCTTTTGAGCAGGTCAAACTTGAAAAGGGGTGGTGTCCACTTATCCTGGCACAGACATTTTTGGGAGAGATGCAGAGATGACAGGATTTTATGGTATTCAGTCCTTCCTTGTGGTAAACATGGACACGTGCTTCAATGTTTGTGTACAGGTGCTGTACTGATTTTCACAAGGTGTGTGTGTGTGTCTGCAAGGCAGGGTGGCACCGTGATGCAGTGCTGGGGCCCTGGGTTCAATTCCTGGGGTGCTATCTGCATGGAGGCTGTAGTGTATGTTCTTTCTTTGTTCAAGAGGGTTTAATTTAAATGTATTCGTTTCCTCCCACAGTCCAAAGACATACTATTAGGTTAATCGGTTCCTGCGAAGACTGGCCCTGGTGTGAGTGTGTGCCTGTTTGTGTCTGTGTGTCCTATGATGGAGCATTGTTCTCTCCAGGATGTACCTGTTCTGATAGGCTCTGGCTCCCCCAAGACCCTGTATTGGATGAAGTGGTCAGAAAATGGGCAGATGAATGTGAGACAACAGATGTGACAACCTTTATACCCTTCAGGCGATATGACAGAATCGGCTGTGTTGTGTGAATGGAAATGCACAGAACTAAATTGATTATAGCAGATGCTCTGGGCCAAATGAGGAAATTTGAAGCTGGAAGTATTGATACAGTATTTCTTTAACTTTGTTGAGCATAAAAGGAAATGATGACTTTCGATTAAACGACATGTTTAGAAAATTGTGACCACAATCTTGCTGAAACTGCCTGCAGATTAGCGCACATGGTGCAGTCTTTGCCAATTTTACTTGGCTTATGTGACATCTGTAGATATTATTTGGAACTGTCTCTCTGTAATGTAAACGCCTCATCCAGTAGGTTCGTACTATAATCCCATGCTCTTTGTGACAGCAGTGCTCAAAGCCACAGGGGCTCACTTTGTCAAATGATATAATAAATAGGATTCAGATGTTCAAAACGCCATTTACAGTTCATCTGAGCAGCCAGTACTCACGCAAATTAGAAATTCTTCCAGGTACTGTAGAGAATAATTTCTCCCTCTGCCAGGCAATTCTTCCTCCTCATATATCAACACACCTATCTACAAAGAAGCTTCTCTCTTTTATTTTAAAGATTTCTGTCCTGATTATGGCTTCAGACTCAGATTTCCCCCTCCACTACTTTCCTTTGCCATTGATTTTACTGTCAGCTTTAACATAATGAGTTTCTCATTCATCCCATTTGCTGTTTTTAGCCATACGCTTGGTTCTCTGACACAGTCAAGTGCTGCTGCATTGCAGACTCTCAATGCCATGCAGAGATTCTGACCAGAGAGCTCACATGATCTGAAGTTCTTATGCTGTGGCATTTACTGTATGCACACATACAGTATTCTGTGCATTCTGTGGTGCCCAAGTTGCACTTCTAACGTATAGTTCAGGTGGGTACCTTTTTCACACCTGAAGAAGGCTCCATGGCCAAATCGTTGTGTTTTCTTTCTTCTCTTTTTAGCATGGAATAAACCTATTACT